CCAGTACACCAGGTAAGTGCCGGCTTTTCTGGACCAAATAGGAGGGGACTTGGTGCTTTATTGTCCCAACCCGACTTCTTGCCCTACTTGGTCGCTAGGCCAAGCTAACGGAAAATGACTTTGTACTAGTACTGGCAGGATTTCCTCCCACCTATTCTGCCTGACCGAAAGATAATGCTGTTTTAGTTGAGGGTGATTTGTATCCTGGCTCCGTATTAAAACATTAAACGGATCCAACCTTGACAATATTAGCTACTAACGGCTTATCTAGGTATCCTGAGTCTACACCTTGTCTGACCGCTACACAACTCCAGATTCTAGATACTCCAGACTCAGATGTACTTTATACTCAGGTACAGCAGATATTTACCACGTGGACAGAAGGAACTTGAAGGATGAGTGGGTCAGTATCAGAGTAAATATGAGCTTATCTAAGACGACGGTAGTAAGCTAGTTAATAGAAATGATAGTTATTAATTGGATAATTAAGTTTATTGGACTTGAGCTAGCTAGAGGAGATATTAGCGGGTGCAAGCTAGAGAGAATAGGTTAGCTAATAAAAAAATAAGTTAGCAAACAACAGTAGAATTTGGTTAGAGACAATTTAAGATTATTTGGGGAGAAGTTAGCTAATTTCAATTTCAAAAGAGAAATTTGGCTAGCTAGTTAGCTAGATAAAGAAGAAATTAGCTAACAAGAGGAAATTGAGTTAGTTAGAAAATAGATCAGCTAAGTAAAGGAGAAACTAGCTAATACGAGCAGGATTGGTTAATTTAGACTAGCTAGATAGAGTAGAAACTGGCTAACAAGCGGAAACTTGGCTAGTCGGAGAAAAGTTATCTAACAAGAGATGAACGGGTTAGTTAGAGAAAAGGTTATTTGCTTTGATAAAAACCAGGCTAGTTACAAAATATTTGAGTAAAATAGAGAAGAAGGTAGTTAATAGGAGATGAATTTGCTTAGCTACAGAAAAGGTGAGTTAGTTTTAGATATGAAATACGCGAGTAAGTATTTCGATACAGAACTAAATAATGTTAAATAAAATAAAGAATAATAAAAAAAATGATAAATGGATAAATAAAAAACTATTCTAAATGTTGAATCAATATATGTTATAACATTATCTAGATAGAATGTGAGATATTTGAGAATCTAGCCAGATAAGAGTAACATGAGCTGAATTACAACATATTTGTAGGGATGCGCTGATATGATGGTAGAGTTTGTGGAGAATAATATTATATTTCTGTTTGCAGCAGGAATAGGAATTCTACTTTTAGGTCAGTTTAATGTATTATATTTTTCTACGAATGTAATATGGGATTTTTGGATTAACAATAATCCTCCAAACCGGCGGAACCAAATTAACAGACTATTTTATTTAATATTGGGATTGCCAGTTTCTTTTTTGAAAATGTACTTAAAAATAAAACTCTGTAATTAAAAAAAAGTTTAAGATATTTTAATCAAGTTTATGGATCTGTCTATTATACCTTAGTCTACAAACATGTAAAATCAGTTATATTATTATCAATAATCTGTTAACTTGTTTCTAATTCTAATTTTCTAATCATTATCTGTGCAAATATCTTTATGTGGGATCCAATCATTTTAATATAATCATATAAAAAAGCTGAAATCCTGAAATCACCTTTTATATTTCAAACTACGAATTTAATTTCAAAGGTTTGCTTGATTACTACCCATTGATTAGTAAGCAACATCTTATCCAATTGAGAACTTGATAATTAGTGAAAAACAAAAACTAATTCACTTAATATTTTTTAGAGGTGTTCAGCATGGTGCTTTCTATGTGCCTCTGTTGTACAATAAAGAAAATTCGCGACATGAAGGCGTAACAAGATATAAACAAAATATTTGACAATGCAACTTTTTAAACCAGTTTTTTATCAAAGGTTCAAACTTTTCTCTACACACTTTTAAGTATTGTAACGATGTACAAGCAGAGAAAGAAACTTCTTTCACTGTTACCTATTAATCTATATATCTTTATGTACAATTGTTTTTATATATTCTTTATTGTTCAATGTTAAACCATGTAGCTTACCCTTTTGTACACTGTACCCAATAATCTCAGTTGCAAAATCTCAAATTTAGTTATGTAAAATGTATGATATATTTCTGTAATGGGGGAGGAATAACACAAAAATAAGAACTAAGCGACGAATCTGAAGGTCGTCTTACATTAAAAAAGTTCTTCAGAGATGTCTTGTAACGTTTATCATATTTTCATTTTACAATAAAATATAAATTTATGGAAGGTAAATTTGGTCAAATGAAAATAGTTCAAATGCTTATTTTTCTCAAACTCCAAATGTTCTTATATTTTATCTTCTTGTAAAATAAAAAATTCAGTCTGCACAATTAATAGTTCCTTACATTCATCAAGTACCTTCTTATGCATACATTTTTAGCAAAACACCTTTTCTTCTGACAGTAAATAAGTTATTCTACAGTTAAACACTTAATAACGAATACATCGAAAGAATTCATCAAATGTCGTATTCTTCACTTATGGATAGTTGAATGTTGCAGATATTTAGTTTTTTGATGAAATGATTATATGGAGCACTTTAAAACTGTTCCCGCATATTCATGGCTATTTATTCATTTTCGCAAATACCGATTTTTACGTAAAATATAATTGCAAAATTGTCAAGACGACATTTGATAAATGCTTTCGATATATGGCTGATGTAGGGTTTAACTGTAGAGAACTTGAGAAGTAGTTCATATGTCTTCCCTGCTAATTTTTAAAAAACAAATTGTTGTGAACATAAACCCTTCTTCCTATCAATGTTATGTGTTGATGTTAGAGAAAGAAATTAAGTCTTTGTCACAAACTAATATTTTCTATTCTCTATATCTTTGCAACCTGACGGTGGAAACCTTAGATATTTTAAGCTTAGATCATTTGACCTAAAAGAATTCATAGTTTTAAATATCCAAGGTTGCAAAAATCTAAAAATTAAAAAATCAGAGTTTGTGGTAGAGACTCAATTCCTTTCACACACAAATTATATATATGTATGTAATAATATGTGAATGCAAGCCATTCGTGTGCCAATAGAAACAATAAATAATCCAACATATTTGAAAATTTTTATGATTTATAAACTAAAAGTAAAGATATCACTTATTTTTTTTTTAAATGTTTATATCCAATATTGTAAAATTATTAATATTGAAAAAAATAAGATTAAGGAGGATTGCAAAGATTTTATTTTATTTCCGTTTTCACTTCATTAAATCTAAATCATTTAATGTCTTAACAAATATTAAGAAGATGGTCAACTTAATATTAAGTGTCTTAAAGAAAATGTAGTTTTTATATCTTGTCAAGTAAGAATTTCTATGAATGGAAGCACATGGAAAATAATAATAATAATGCATGCTGAACAGAAGGACGAAGGTGTTCTGTTGAAGTCTTGAAGGAACAGTTTTACTAAATATGACGGAAGGGTTGACATAAATAAGATTAAAGCTGTTAAACTGTTAACGATAAAGTTAAAGAAATTCTAATAAAATATAATAAAATGTAATGAGTCTTAGTCTCCCCCCCCCCTTATCTTGTAACACACAGGGCTCACTGCAAACTATAGACAGAAGGACAAGTTAAAATCTACACTACATCAACGGTACAGCTTTGTAACCCCGTAGCTACTCTACCTTTGTTGTTATGCACAAGAGAAATATTTATATAATATAGAAATGAGGAAGAAATCGTTTTGCCTTAGTTTGAAAAATGTTTAATTTCGATGATTTCGACCATTGTATCTGCAGTATAAATGCACCTTTGTGGAGAAACCACAATTGAAAATAATGAATTTTAAAAGAGTTTAACATGAATATATATTATCTATTATCTAATTCATTCTTAATCAGTAAAAGCTTTTAAGGGCACCGTTGTGTATCGGAAATGCCACTTTTTTATTGAGAGTCACATGAATATACGACTCAAGTCTCTTTATTGAGAGTCAGTTGAATATACGACTCAAGTCTCTTTATTGAGAGTCAGTTGAATATACGACTCAAGTCTCTTTATTCAGAGTCAGTTGAAAATACGACTCAAGTCTCTTTATTGCGAGTCAATTGAAAATACGACTCCAGTCCCTTTATTAAGAGTCAATTGAAAATACGACTCCAGTCCCTTTATTGAGAGTCAATTGAAAATACGACTCCAGTCCCTTTATTGAGAGTCAGTTGAAAATAGGGCTCAAGTCTCTTTATTGAGAATCAATTGAAAATACAAACACAGTCCCTTTATTGAGAGTCAGTTGAAAATACGACTCCAGTCCCTTTATTGAGAATCAGTTGAAAATACGACTACAGTCCCTTTATTGAGAGTCAGTAGAATATCAGTCCCTTTATTGAGAGTCAGTTGAATATACGACTACAGTCCCTTTATTGAGAGTCAATTGAAAATAACGACTCCAGTCCCTTTATTGAGAGTCAATTGAAAATAACGACTCCAGTCCCTTTATTGAGAGTCAATTGAAAATAACGACTCCAGTCCCTTTATTGAGAGTCAATTGAAAATAACGACTCCAGTCCCTTTGACTTTAAATGACTTTTCTCTAACTTATGACGTTTCCTGCCTAAATTGTATTTATTCAATTTAAATGGATTAAAAAAATTAAGCTGGAATCCTCTAAATGAGTTAAATGAGTCTTATTCATCCTTTCTGCTACATGGGTTTATTTACTGATCTAAAATTTGTCAAATTTCCAGCTTTTAAATCAAAGCAATTGAGTCTTTGCCACAAACTCTGATTTTCTAATCTCTTTATCATTGCAACCCAATGTCTTCGATATTTCAACTATGTACTGTTAGATCAAATAATCTGAGATTGAAATATCAAAGATTGGAAAAATAAAGGGATTAAAAAATTAAAGTTTGTAGCAACAACTCATTTCCTTTATTTTACGTAATACAGGCCCTTTAATTACAAGATGTCCATTAAACAAAACTAAATTATTAATAATTAATAAAATCTGATTCTAGATGTTTACTCTTCTAACTATCGGATTTACAGCAGGCCGTAGGTCCAGGTAAAATATATTCATTCAAAACAATAAATTTCTATATTTTAACAACAATTTTTTTTAGCGAACTCTATTTATGTCTGGCCATGATGAACTCCTGGAAACTATTATATTTACAAATCAATAAGGGGGTCCTGTAGTTAAACATAGCAGTATAGAATGGATTGACGTCAATACAATGTATGTTAGTTTTACGTGTAACAGGGGCGCTTATAAAATACAGAATGAAACTTTTGAAATGGGCAAATTTCAAAAAGACAATTCTTGAAATAATTTAGAGTTCAGTAAATAATTAATAATATCCATTGGAATATTTAAAAATGAAAATTGTTTAAATCCAACTAAGAATTTGTTTGAAAAAGCGCGGTTTGCAATTCAACTAAACTTATTTTTTTAGAAAATTCGCGAACTTTTTTTGTTTTTGTTTTACAATGTACACTAAGAGAAGATGTTCACAATTGAAATAGAAGCGCCCTGAAAGCCTAGTATAAATATATATATTTTGATTGTCTGTCTGTTTGTTTAATTTGTATCCAAAAAACGTCAAAACACCAAATTTTGTGTGGGACTTCACATGACCGGCCCAAGGAAGGTTTATGGATGATCAACATTTAAAAAATCAGCCTCCAACAAAATTCGATTTTCATTAAATTTAGAAAATCCTCGAGATTTTGTTATAAAATCCGCGAACTTTTTGTTTGTTTTTGTTTTACAGTATATACAAAGAGATCATAGAAATAGAAGATGGGTGCCAAGCGCCTGAATGCTCAGTAGCTTAGATTTATTCATCACAATAATTAGAAAAATTACAACACATCATAATATATTTCAATTACAGGGTGGATCCGAGGAATGAATTTGAAAGATTACCGTCTCCTCCTGCATACTCCAGGTACTTTATTACAACCCATCCCCTGTACAGGTTAATTGTTTTATATGTACAAGGTTACAATTAGTTTACACATCATTATTTTCAAAATTCAAAACAGACATCCGAACTCGATCAGGAGTCATTTCATATATTTAGTTCCGTTATTTCAGAGTTTTAAGATTTTCAAATTAAATCCAATTAATATTTTTCGGATGAAATGTCAATGATTTTCAGAATTTTCAGTAATATTTCAAAATATAAAGAGATTGTAAACGTAATTTTATGTGACTCGATTTTTATTTAAAGATTCCCAACAGAATCATTTTATCAGATATCTCTACCAGATTCTTGAAAGAGAACCGTCGTCAATAGTTATTGGAAGTCTTCAGATTAAAAGAGGATAGGACATACGTAATTTTAAATACCCCCATTAAATAGTTTCACGCCCGATTCACAACGATGCTTTTTCATCTTTATCTGTATGTAATTAAGGAAAATATAGTTTTTTTTTTCATCCGAAAAGTGTTAATTTCTTTATCTTATATATTATTAATAATTTTCAGAAAGAAAAAAATTGAAATTTTTTTCATTTTTTTTTAGAGACGAAGATATCAAGAAGAATATTGTTAAACGGGCACACAACTTTTTGACCAGAGGGTCAATTGAAAATTAACCATCCCCTTAAATTTACGTTGACGCTACATTTATATTGAAAACAAGTTGTACAGGGTTAGGGTTTCCACGAAATGGCTAAATCTTTTGCGCAAAATTTACGCAATTTTCACGCAAATTTTATTTTTGCGAACTTTTGCGCTATTTTTGCGCATGAAACGCAATGAGTTTTGCGCGGTTTTGCGCTATTTATTTTGCGCAATTTGCGCAAAACCGGAAATATTTTTTAAAAATTGCGCAAAAGTTTTGCGAATGGAAACCCTATACAGGGTTTCAAAAATTATTCAGTTTTCCGAAGATTAGTTTAAAGCCTAAAGATCATCGTGCCATCGCGCGTTTTGATTTCCTTTTATAGTGTGTGTAAATATTTTCCATAAATATATTAAGGGTTCAGAATACAATTCATACATCACGTTTTCCTTGCTTAAATATAGAGCATAGCTGTTGAATCTTGAAATTTTATAAATATGCAAATAATGCATTAAAACTGTTTATGCAAATGCAACCTTAATGCAAAATATATGGGAGTGTACGCTAGTTTAAACTTTATTCTATAGCCAAAAAAATCCTAATTTTAAAATCTTTGATATTAACGATTTATTAATTCGATGGGAGATTAAAATAATATTTGATCGAATTTCCTCGACAAACATAAAATCTGTCGAATTTGACTTAATCACTGGATCTAATTGATAAACAAAACACAAACATTTCAAATTATCTCTTGATAATTTTATGTTGAGTTAAACATGATTAATGTTTGTTGTTTAATTTTTATTAAACAATAAACGCTATTTCTGCGCAAAGTAAATATCCAGCGTTAAAGTCTATTTAACTTAATCAATAATTAAGTTACTCTCCAGGGCGTATACAAGGGGGTGGAGGGGGGGGGGTCAGTAGTGCTTCTAAAGGTGTTGTTTAGAAAAATAAACTTTGTCACAAATTGTTTTTATTATGTTTATAAAAAAGAGATATTAGGCGGTAATATGGAGACCATGCCATTTGGTCATGTTTAAATTAGCGAATACTCCCTTTTTGAAATATATGGAGGTGGGGGGGGGGGGTTAGTTTCGTGATTGAACACTTTTAAACTCCTTTATAGGTGAAAAAAAGCTGGCGAAGAAATACGAGAATAGATCACAGCTGCCTGCACTGTAAAGTGTTTATATTTTAAGAAATGTTTAAATGTTTTTCATTGCAGATCTGAAAAGGTTGAAATATTGAACTTTATTGATACTAAGAATAGGGATGGTTCTTATACATTCGGATTCGAGGTAAATCATATATGGAAATAATTTATAGATACAAAAATAGTAATAATATATATATACACAAATAGAAATAATAGATACACAAATAGAAATATATTGTAGATGCACAAATAGAAATATGGTAACCGCCAAAAAAAAAGTCCTTGGAAAAAAGTGCTAAAATTTCACACTAAAAAAGTCCTGTGGAAAAAAGTCCTTTTATTAAAAAGTCTTCGGAAATAAAGTCCTACCAATTCGAGATTTTATTTTATAGACATTTTTTTCTGCCTCCAGTATGATTTCATACACAACTTTTCGTAGGACTTTTTTCCGCAGACTTAAATTACTGAGTTCAAATTTCCCGAGACTTAGGACTTTTTTTCTAGGTTTTTTCCTTGGATTTATTTTCTTCAGGACTTCCTGAAATCTTATTTCCTGAGACTTTATTGGCAGCCACCATACTATTTTAGGAAAAAAAGTCACAGGAATCCAAAACACGGGACTTTATTTCCAGTGACATTTTTTCCAAGGACTGGAGAAAATTCGGACTTTTTTCCCAAAGTTTTTATTTCCAGGTTTTTTTTCCAGAAACTTTTTTCCCGGGACTTTCTTACATAGATTCTAGAAATATATTGTAGATGCACAAATAGAAATATCTGAGCATCTTCTCTTTTTACAATATAAAACAAAAACAAATTCATAATATCTTTTCGCGCATTTTAAAATTATACAAAAATAAAAAAACTTTTAAACACAATTTTTTTTAATTTTCAGCACTTATAAACCTTTCCTGGGGCCACTCCAAATTTGGGCCCGATCGGTTGAGCCGTTTTGATGTTTATTGGATATAAACAGACAGACACCCAGACTAGCTAAAATATATAGATTAAGTGTCTGCTAAGTGGTGTCAACAAGGTATATGAGGTGTCTGCTATGTGAATGAAATGTCTACAAAATGTATGAGGTCTTTGCGAGGTATATGATGGGTTTTTTAAGCTCTTATGAGGTGTCTTCAAGGTGTGTAAGTTGTCTGCAAGGAATAGAAGGAACTTGCAAGGTATATGAGGTGTCTGAAAGATATATATTGTGTCTGCAAGGTGTAGAAGGTGCCATTGAAGATATACGAGGTGTCTGCACAACGGTATATGAGGTGTCTGAAAGACATATGAGATTTCCAGACGTTATCTTGATAAAGCATTTGCAATTCTATAAAATATAGATTTACAACATAGTATGCACTATATGGCTTGAAGGTGTATTTATGGAGTATTTTTAAGTGGTAGCTTATATTTAAGGTAAACTTTATAACTGGAAATTGTATAGTATGAGGTGGGGGAACAGTATATAATATGACAGGATGGATTACTAGTTAGAAGGAGGTTAATTGACTAGGGCAGATCATCTTCATTGCATGCAGGGTGTTTCAAAATAAATGACATAGTTGAGAGGCTGCATTCATGGGTCAACCTAATTTGAATAGTAAAACTCTTGAATGGTATAATCAACCATATACCTAGCATTTACAAAATGTGTTCTGCCTTTTTTGTACCTTTCAAATTATCGGAGGTTTAAAGAATTTCGTTCAGATTTTGGTTTTATTTCATAAAATCAACTAAACGTCTTAATATCTTCTTTGATATTTAAAGAAAAAAGGCCGACCACATTTTGGAAATGTCAGGACTAGGGGAAGTTTGTGATTAAAGAGTCAATAATCATACATGTAAACGTAGGTTGAAGAATAATTGCCGCATATTGTTTTTATTATCAAAGACGATCTTCAAGTTGTCTCTGAACGGTCATGTTTTGTGGAACAGGGTGTACCTTATTCTTCACATTCACGAGAACCATTCGTATAACAATTCTAATATATTTAACATTTTTTCCATCCAAGTTTAATTCATTATGCAAAACAAAGGGTTGATTAATGATTAAAATCTTTCCAGTTTTTTCATCACGAAACAAAAAGCTTTCAACTGTAAAAATGATGCAGTATCTAGTTTAGAGTAATGTAAACAATGTTGGATGTTGATGTTTGGACTTGTTGTACTGTACAACTGTACAGTAATATCTTATCATGCTAAATAATTGAAAGAAAAACAACCTGAAGGATTGAATAAACATAAGGTGCAGATACAATAAAAAGAAAGAAGGATGGAACGAATAAATAAATATAATTGTTGAACCATGCAATATATTGCAGTGTAACCTGACAAATTGTATATATTGCACGGGACAGAAGAAGTTTTTCTAACAGTGTGGAATGAATAGAAAGAAAGATGGAATTCGAATAGTAGAAAAGAAGAACGAAAAGTAGGGAAAATACATAGAATAAAAGAAAAGATGGAAAGAATAAATGGGAAGATGGAATGAAAAGAAAGGAAGATGGACTTAATAAAAGGGAAGATGGAAAGAATAGTAAGGAAAATAGAACGAATAGTAGGGAAAATAGAACGAATAGTAGGGAAAATAGAACAAATAGTAGGGACAATAGAACGAATAGCAGGGGAAATTTACGAATAGAAAGGAAGACAAATTGAATAAAAGGGAAGATAAACGAATAAAAAAGGAAGATGGAACGCATTGCTGAGAAGATGGAAGGAACAGAAGGAAGGATGGAACGAATAGAAAATAAAACAAACGAATAGAAGGGATGGTGAAAGGAATACAAGAGAAGATGGAACGAAAAGTAGGGAAAATAGAACCAATAGAAGGGAAGATAGATTGAATAAAAGGGAAGATGAAACGCATTGAAGAGAAGGAAGGATGGAACGAATAGAAAATAAAACAAACGAATAGAAGGCAAGGTGGAAGGAATAGAAGAGAAGATGGAACGAATAGAAGAGGAAATGTAAGGAACAGAAGAAAGGATGGAATGAATAGAAGGGAAGAAGGAACAAATAACAAAGTGGGTTAAAAATTGATGGATTTAATAAGTGGGTTGGTTGCTCTAAGTGCACCTGGAGTTCACGACTTTAAATGCATATTTATTAAGGTCCTGGTAATACTCTTTGCACACAAATCTACGTTTACCATGTATTCATGAAAAAGGGAACATATTGCAGTGTCCAATAGGAATTACTATAGCAGAGGTAACAGGCGTTGCCTGTGCCAATCAGTCTTAGATTTTTGTGGTTTCCCGCCAAGTAGCTGTCTTCCCTTCTCCTTAACTTTTTAACATTGAATAATTTGAGAAATATACCACCATTTCTGTGCAACCCATGGGGGGTGATCGTATTTTTTTAATCTTTCTAATGCCCATTGGCAGGGCCGGATTGACCTCCGCACGCCGAAAGGGGATAAGCTCCCAACCATTTTTTATACCAGTGAGGCATTTAACATTTTTGATTTTTATTCCATGATTCTTTGGGAGGCTAGAAAACATTTATACAAACATGCACCCATCCATTCCTAAAATTACATTGAAGTGTTCAGCTGTTTGTCTGAATTGAAAATACCCAATACTTTTTCAGTTTTATTGGTATTCTTTCTTATTCTGTCGTCTGTTTGGGTGATTGCAAGTTTGCAAGTTTGTCTGTTTGTTGGTTCGTATAGCGTGCTAGGCAATGTATAAAATTGGATTGAGAAATGTCAGAATCGGGACGTACATTGTACACAGCTCACAATATATGTTCAAGCACTGGAAAATATAAACAAATAACTACAGCGTATAACTAGAAGTATAGAGGTCATATCAAGAATTGTTCTGATTACCCAACTAAGAGAGTTTTATTATATATAAGTAACTATGTTTGGGTTTAATAAACACAAAAGTGCAATTTTTTGGCATTTCACTTCCTTTCCTTAATAGCATAACAAGACTCACAGCAAAAATGAAAGGGGGTATAGGCTGAAACCTAAGCAATGTAGGAGTGTCACGTGTCTCCGTCTGTATCATGTGACCAGTATACTACACTGCCATTGGTGGGAGTTCTGGTCACGTGAAACGGACGTATACATAATATTATCAATAATATCTATTAAAAATTAAAATTAAAAATTATAAAATTAAAATAGGAGCAAACCGAAGTTTTTCAGGCTCCTCTCGTTTTCAGATTGGTTGCGTATTTGCTAAATATAATCGGTTTAAACCTACAATTTTTATCTAAAATTTTATATATATAAATTTTTTTTATAACTTTGACACAGTTTTATATCAATTTCTTGAGACAGGAACATCAGACAGAACACGTATAGTTCACGATAAACTTCTAAGAAACTTAATTTTCAGCCTATACCCCTTTCATCTTTCCTGTACAGTCAAATGTGAATCGGGCATGCCCCTGTTTTTAAATGGAGGCCTGAGGGTCATGTGAAAATAGAACGACAGCTGCTTTATATACAACTAGCTGAGGGCCCGGAGTTGCTCGTGAAAAAAAAATTGAATAAAAAATTAAGATTGAATTTTTTTAATTCAAATTTGTTTGGCCTATAACACCCTCCTGGCCACCCATGAGTGTCCACAAAAAAATTTAGTCCAATCGGTCCAGCCGTTTGGCCGGCTATACGCAACATGTATATACACGAATGTCTTGTTTTATTATATAGATATACATATAATAAAAGTTTAATTCCATGTCCATCACATGTCCATCACGATGTCTACCGAAATCATAAAGTAAAAACAATTTAAAGATAATTAGATATTATTATTAAGGCTGAAGATGGGAGTTACAAGGTGGAAACTAGATCAGGTGAGATACTACGGATGTACAGGGTGTCCCACGAAACATGACAGTAGCAAGACGATTTGAAAGTTGTCTTTGATCTTTGAATTTATTTAAGACATTCAATCGTCAACCTTCATTCACATGTATGATTCTTGAAACAATATTCACAAAATTCTCCTAGTTCTGGGATTTCCAAAATTTGGTCTGTCTTTTTTGTGCTGTCAATGTTACCAAAGATATTGAGAAGTTGGTTTAAATTTTTTTTTTTTTGAATAAAACCAAAATTGGCGAAATCTGAACAAAATTAATCATATCTCCGTAATATTGAGAACACAAATAAAGGCAAACCAAGATTTGGTAACTATTAACTCTTTAATTTTACTTCTAAAACGTGGTTTACGAAACAGTGCCGTAAATTATTTCAAAGATAAAAAACGACCTTCAAGAATTAGGGGGGTGGGCCCGGGGGTAACCTCGGATGTAGATTGAGGGGGGTGGTAATATATTACGGATGTATTATGCATTCAAAACCATGGCGTAAAGAATGAAAAACACGATTAAAACTTTTCAAGGAAACCAAAACAATTTTTGATTTACAGATTAATTTGTTTCTTCAATTGTAAGTTCACCATGTATAATTGTCAAATAATACATTTCTTTGTTATCTGTTAAAATTAATCAGTTAACATCCGTTTTCATTTTGAAAAGTTATTATAAATAGAATACATTTCAAATTATCTGTTTTGCTAATGAATAATGTATAATATATTAAAGTTTAAAATTTCTAGTTGCTTCGTGAGAATATTTAATTATAATTACCGATTATTTTTTAATTGATTAATTGATTACATGATCTAGATATTTGATCTGTTTCAGCTTTAGGAGAAGTATGGGGGAAGTATGGATATATAGATCAAAAAGGAATCCTAAGGTATCAGCAATAGGCTTTAAAAAATCTGATTAAAAATATACGTGAAAATTTTTTCAAAAAATAATTTATTTTCGCTTTTTTATAAACCCAGGGAATCGACTTACGGAGCAGGGTATGCGTCTAACCCTAGACTGCAAAATACAGGTTTTTGATTTTTCTTTTATTTAACAAATAAAAAAAAATAATACTATAAAAGAATTAATATTTTTATAGAAGCTGTTTGGATTAAGATGTAGATTGAATGCAGATATTTGCAGTAATGTTTGTACAAATATATTCTTTTTGAGTTTTTTTGTTTATTGAAAAAATGATCTTGTAATTTTTCAAAACAATTATTTGAAAATGTATTTGTAATATAGATTTAAAACTATTTTTAATGATCAGGTAAAAAATATGAAGATTCAACCGACGGAGCTGAAAATGAAATATATCGGTAGGTTTGATATACATTTTTTAAATTGTAACAATTATGAATTTTTAACAAATGAAATTACTTCACCCATCACCATGCTATTATTTCTGTCTTTGTTTGATGAAAATCATCAAAAATATTTTTTAAAGAATGAGATCAAATAATAAAAGTGACTTTTGTAATGATTTGCAATATAAATAATAAAACAAGACATTCGTAAATATGTTCCCTCTGGCCGGCCAAACGGCTGGATCGAATGGTCTGACATTTTTTTGAAGGCACTCATGGGTATTATGGGGGTGACGTTGGCAAATAAAAATTAGTTCTTAATAAAATTTTTAAATTTTGTTTTCAATTTTTTTCCAGGGGCAACGCAGGGCCTTGCAGCTAGTATTTTATAAATAATGATTCTAGGGACACCTTGGGTTCTGTAGGAGGATACAAAGCTTATTCAATAAACGAGAAGGATAGGAGGAGAATGATCCTCGGAAAAGACGACATTCCAGCTTCATCCGACTTTACCAAGAAACCTAATATCAAAGAAAAAGAAATAATCAAATCTGAAGTGCAAGATAGATTCAATGCTGAAGCTCAGGTATTAAGAAGGTGTAGTGGCATGCTTTGAATGGAAGAAAATTATTTCCAAATAAGCTTAAATTAAATCTTGATAGATTAAAAAATGAAAGTGCTATTAAGAACTATTTTGGTCTAAAGTCTATATTTTACTTTATTATGGAAGACTTAACATATACCTTAAAATATCAATCAAAATGTTGCTCGATTTTCGAAAAAAAATTATTTCAAAATATTGTTTGTTTAGGCTCCAGACGAAGATTTGTTGCCAAAAGAAAAGATGACTCATGAAGAAATGGTTAAATTTATAAACGGAAGAAGAGCAATACTGAGGAACAACATTCTGTTCAAACCTTTATATTAAAATTCATTTTANTGGGGGGTCTGATGATAACTTACACAAAAAGATCGATGTTTAAAACTTAGGAAACGAGCAAGGAAGACACCTTTGAAAGACAAGATAGAAACGAAAGACAAACAAATCATGGAGAGAAACATTAAAATGCACGAGAAGATTAAAACCAAGCAGAAGGAATTGAAAGAAAACAACGTGGTGGAAGGAAGAAAAAACGAGATGGAGGACAAACGAAACAACAATGTTGGGGTCGGTAGAAAAAACATCGTGGATGACAGTGAAGAAATCAAGGTTAAACATGATAAAGGTAAACATAAAATACATGAACTATTCATCTCTTTTTTTATAAAGATCTTAGTTCATGACCCTGCTCATTATAATATTTTTCTATATCTAGGTGTTTTAAATTCAAGATTTAAACATTTCCCTGTGTCTAACCTAGGTTTCATCAGCACAAGAAAGGTGAGCGACAGTGTGACATGACATATACTTAATTAAACTACAATCAAAGGAGACATGATGCTTTATTTTATTTCACGAGAACAATTGTGGGACAATTATAACTGGTCTTCTGTCTTGAAATATGGGGTTCAACATTTAATCTACAGGTTTACCCCGAAAGGACGAGACTTCAAAGACGACTGAACAGATTTTATTAAATCTTTTTTCTTCCATTCAAAATCATTCCAAAAAATATTTTAAAGAGTTTTAGGTCGTAATCCTGTAAAGCATTTTCTAAACTTAAGATCAAAAATCTCCATTTATACTATTCCATTGGTTCCTAACATCTACAAAATTTTTAAGCTCAATTATCAATTTCCCTAACACAGGTTTAACTTTCATTAACCCATCGAAAATTTTGGGACGGAAATTAAACTTCCATTATTTATGTTTAACCATGACCCTTTTAATATAATTTAGGAGACATCTTTTGAACGTCCAAACCAATATTCTCAACCAACTACTCTCTCACCATATTCAGGAGCTCAACCTGAAAACCATCTTTCATCTGATCAATTAGTCCTTCCGGAGAACCCTGATCAATTAGTCCTTCCCGGGGATCCAGATCAATTAATCCCGCATTGGGACACTGATCAATTAGTCCTTCAAGGGGACTATGATGAACTAATTCTTAATGGGAACACTGATCAATTAGTTCATCAAGGGAACCCTGATAAACTAGCCCTCCAAGGGGACCAAGATCAATTAGTCCTTCAAGGGTACCCTAATCAATTTGTCCTTCATGGGGATCCTGATCAATCAGTCCTTCATGAGAACCCTGATACACTAATCCTTAAAGGGCATCCAAATCAACCAGTCATTCAAAGGAATCCTGATCAAATAGTCCTTCAAGGGTACCCTGATCAATTAGGTCTACAAGGGAAACCTGATCAATTAACCCTTCAAGGGTACCCTGATCAATTAGGTCTACAAGGGAAACCTGATCAATTAACCCTTCAAGGGTACCCTGATCAATTAGGTCCACAAGGGAAACCTGATCAACTAACCCTTCAAGGGAACCATGATCAACGAGTCCTTGATCAAATTTCTCTAGAAAAGGATGACTATAGATTGGAAAACGGTGACAACCTGTATCAACCAAATACTAGGGAGAAGAACCCCTTGAATAGAGATGAAAACTACTCTAAAACATCTTCAAGGAGTTCTCCCAGCTTAAAACAACCAATCCAAAATACAGAGAAAACTACAGATGACAATGGCAATATATTGAACAAAATCAACCTATTTCGAAAGCTTCCTTCGCAGTATCCAACCAACCAACTACAGCCATCTGAAAACCATTTCCTGGAACCAGCTCTTGATGACACCAGAATAACACATCTCGAACCCGCAATCGATTATGATAATTTTGGAACAGAAACATCAACACAAAAGAAAAATGTACTTTCTGGTTCTTTTTCTAACCTGCAGCTCCACAATAATGATCAAAATAACAAGAAACTTATGGTTTTAGAAGATTCCTTCAGGTAAACATATCTTTCCTGCATGCATAAAATGAGTATTTACGTAAGAACTAAATAAATGGAATCAGTACAGTTGGATGTAATACTCTAAATGCCAGGGCTAGATTTGACAGTTGAGGGCAAGAAACAAATTGATGAGTTAAGAACTTGGGACAAACAAAATATTTTGTGTCTTAAATTTTTTTGACATTTTTGTTACCTTCTCGTTATAATAACTGTCTTTCAATTTAAATACTATATGTTATTGTTAACAATTTGCTACTCCTTTTTCCCCACTACATTTCGTTTTTGTTCGAAGGGAAATTCCTTTATATTTTTAGTTCTAATACCAATTACTTACATTTTTGAAGGGTTCGTTTAAAACATTTCATAAAAATATAAAAATATTGTTTTAGAAGTACATCAAGCAGTAGAGAAGTGGAGGAGAGCTTAAAGTTGATTTCAACATTTTTACAAGATAGAGAGAGGGAACATAGCTTGCCATTGACCATTGACCACAAGGGTATGCTCATTTGTCATACAGTTTACACAGCTAACTAAAAACTATATCTTTTTATCCGAAGATATTTGTAGATGTCCAAGAACTGGAGAATTTAGATGAGATCGACTCCGTCATTTTTATTTTGACTATTATTATCTTAGTTTGAACATGCATCTGGGGCTTTAATTTTAGCAAAAAAAAGTGCGAAGAAAACAAAGGGGGGGGGGAGGATTTTAAGCGGCAGTTGTCTGGAAGTGTTGGAGATTTTTCATCTTAAATATTTTTTCAATTCCATTTGCGTATTTATTTTTAATAATATTAACCTGAGTCGTTTAAAAGAATTTTTCTAAATCCGGCAAGATGTTCAGAATTCATGTTTTCAGGCGTGATCAGGTTTATAAGTCCGGAAAACGAATTGTCTGAACCCCCTTCAGGTCCAACGGAATACTTTTACACCGACATCTATGATTTCTCTTTACGAAGAACTGATGAATCTAAGGATTTTGAGATCTACGAGGACTTGACAAATGATTTACCCACAAGTTATCATTCGTATGATGCTGTTCCTCAGCAAGAGAAAGGTAAAAAGAGATTTTTGAGAATTTGAAAATAAAAATAGATAAAAAATGGGACGTTGACTTTATAGATTCCCCCCAAACCTGAACATATTATGGAGAACAAATATTACTTATAAGAGGCGTGGAATTGTATATTCAAAAAAGAATAATATTCCAAGGATCCAAAATTTAGATTTCAAATGCAAATTTTGAAGAAAAAAAATTTAGTTATAGATCAAAACACAGAGGATAACCCCGGTGAACAAGAGCCCAACACGCAATTTGATCAAGAAGATCGAGTTGATCAACGCGCAAATCAAGAGGAAGAAACTGAGGATCTAGGAAGAAGCCCAAGATTCAATAAAAAGGAGACAATTAATATCAACTTGAATAGGTATTATGTTTTCTTAACTAACTTAACTTTTCCAGATTATTCCTGTTTATCAGTTGTTTGTTTATTAGATTCCCAATGGGATACTTCAGGGACAAAATTAGAGCTTTTGTTTAGACCAAGAGATTCAAGACCCTTGGCGCACCAGGAGACATCTAACCCTGTTCAAAGAGTTCAAATATCAAATATTGGAAGTGTGTTCACTCAAGCGGGAGAAGTTTTTTTGCCAAAGAAAAATCCGCAAATTACTTCTAAGAAATCTACTTCAACTCTGGGTTGGAATTGGACAAATTTTACTCCAGCGCTAGAAACAAATAATGACGGATCGTATACCCTTTTCACCTTTCTATAGCGTATAGCTCTAACATACTAAACAATTTATACTATGCTCTGTTGTATCATTTATTAAAAATAAAATTGCATTAGATAAAATAATCTGACCATAAACTGAAGTTGGAAGGAAGAGAAGCCATATTTTTTATCACATTTTTCAACGTCAAAGCCTACTCGACGTAATCTTTTGCTGGTCGATTAATTAATTGATTGATCTGCTGTCGACCAAAGAATTATTGGAAATTGAGAAATTGGAGTTAACATAAACTTATGTTTTTCACAATTTTATTATTTTGTAAGCTTAATTATTGAATTAGAAATTGAAAATCTATAGAGGATAAGTTTTTATATTATATTGAGCCAGGTCCCATTTTATAGAAAAAAAGAAACAAAAATACAGATCTAATAACTTAAACATTTAAAATTCATTTCACAGTGTCATTGTTATAAAAATATAAATATGGAAGGTCTAAATTATTTTTTGTATGGAGTACAAAAATAATTAAAAAATTTTCAACTAAAACATAAATCCAAAGAATAAATAATAAATAGTTAACACACACTATTGAAATCTTTTGTTCATCACATTTAGAAAACATTCTTACGCATCTGTGTCAAAACTCATAAGTATGGAATTGATGGAATATAAAAGTAAAAAAAATTTGTTGCTAGAAATAATAAGTTTCGGGGTCTGTCCTAGTGAACGATTTTTGGACCCCCCCGTGGCCCCCCCCCCTCCTAACAATTTTGTACATGATCAAATTAGTATTTATTTAGTATTATTTAGGGTTAGGTTAGGTTAAGATACTTTCTGGGCCGAGCGCTGCGGCTAGGAAAGGCTAGGGGGCCGAGCGCTGCGGCCACGGATTAGGTTAGTTAAGACACTTTCTGGGCTGAGCGCTGCGGATAGGACAGGCTAGGGGGCCGAGCGCTGCGGCCACATGGTCAAGTATATCACAGTCTAACATATAAGATCCATGAACAAAATTGATAGGAAGGGGGGGGGGCCGGGGGGGTCCAAAAATCGTTCACTAGGAATATACCAAGTTTCGTTGATTTCACATTTGAAATAATTTTTTCATATTAAAATCAGTTAGAGATGATTAAATATTTCATTGAATGTGCTTTACAACATTCCAGATGTATCCGGTTTACAACATTCCAGATGTATCCGGTTTCATTCCAGATGGATCCGGTTTCATTCCAGATGGATCCGGTTTCGTGAATTTCATGATTATGCGCAAGCAAATGATGTAAGCAGTATGATAAGCGTGTTTCAGTTTAAGAATATATACATACATTTACAACATGAAAAATGAGTATATATCTAAAATATAAATTTAGTTTTAAAATTGATAAAAAAATATGAAATAATAATTTCAAGAAATCATGAAATGCATAAAAGTTATTTTTATCTGCATAGGACATTTCCATTTATTGTAAAAGGCAGATTCCTTTATTATTGTCTTGTAATGATGCACGTTTAACTGTTCTGATACTGTCTTGAATTTCTCCAAAGATGAGCCATGATTTGTTCATAGTTGAAATACGTAAAGACTGTACATAACTGATTTATGTACTGTATGTCGTTTTTAAGTATTCTCTAGACCCCCCTGAAGTAGTTTACTATCTGCAGTAAGCTAACGTATGTTCCCGTTAAGAATCCAACAAATCCAATTATGAATATTCCACAGTTCTTCAACAGTCGACCTCTGAAATCAGAAACATGTGAGACTCTGAAACATTTTCAAAAAAATTTTAAGAGGAAAAATTATATTTTCTCGATAGGGGTTAAACAGGGGTGTATACTGTATATCCTTACTTAAACATTTTCAAGATAATTTTTAGAGGAAAAATTGTATTTTTTTGATAGATTTTAAACAGGGGTGTATACTGTATATCCTTACTTATACATTTTTAAGATAATTTTTAGAGGAAAAATGGTATTTTTTCGATAGATTTTAAACAGGGGTGTATACTGTATATCCTTACTTAAACATTTTCAAGATAATCTTCAGATTTTCGATAGGTTTTAAACAGGGGTGTATACTGTATATCCTTACTTAAGAACAAGCTGATAACAAACAGGGAAGAGAAATAAAAATGTAAAAGAGGAAAGGAATTAATGGAATAAATGGAATTAATATAATAAACGGAATAAATGGAAATTATGGAATTAATGGAATAAATAAAATAAATGGAATAAATGGAATAAATAGAATAGATGGAATTAATGGAATAAATGGAATTAATGGAATAAATGGAATTAATGGAATAAATGGAATTAATGGAATAAATAGAATAAATAGAATAAATAGAATAAATAGAATAAATGGAATAAATGGAATAAATGAATAAATTGAATAAATGAAATTAATGGAATTAATAGAAATTATGAAATAAATGGAAATTATGGAATAATGGAATAAATAGAATTGATGGAATAAATGGAATTCATGGAATTCATGGAATTCATGGAATAAATGGAATTCATGGAATTAATGGAATAAATGGAATTGATGGAATTAATGGAAATGGTATAAATGGAATTAATGGAATAAATATAATAAATAGAAGAAGAAATAACTGGAAAAGGTGGAAACTAAGAATGTAACCATTGTGAAAAATTGTCAAATGCAATAATGTGCAATATCAAAAATTTCAGACGTAGCAGTTGAGATATTAAAATATTAAACCCCTACAGTCCCATTTGACTCCAAAGTAAAATAACGTGTTAAAAGACTTATTTAAATCTTACTTGGTCATTTTCTCCGATTCCCAGAATGTAACTGAGTCAAGGATCGGAGGAGCCATGAGAGCCAAGGATGAGCTAGAAACAGCTCCGACCAGAGATATGAACAGATCTAGTTTAGGAATAGCTGCGGCTAGACCAAATGTGAAGATGACGAGGCAATAGCGCAGCATGTATTCAGCCAATAGATGTTTCTCAATTCGCACCCTGCATATTTACAAATAAAATCAAAAGTATCAAAGAATAATCTTCTCACAACTCTTAGGATTCAAAATTCATTGAAAGTGACAAATATAAGTTTTTTACATTTACTCGCAAGATAATTTTTGTAAATGTAAAATTCAAAATGTTCATTTAGATGAAATAGATAAATCCCGAAAAAAAATAGATATAAAGGCTATCTAATTACGATTATATTAGAGGTGATAGGTAGATTGATTGTACTGCAGGGGCGTACGAGAGGGGGGGGGCACGCATAGGGGGTCTCATATATGAAATTATTCTATATGATATGGGAGGGAGTGACAGCAATTATCAAAAATGTCAAAAATAGGAATTTCCCAAATGCCTGGGTATCTGGGAAATTTCCCAAATGCCTAGGTATCTGTGAAATTTCTCAAGTACCCAGGCATTTGAGAAATTTCCAAAATCTTAAAAATATACCACCCTCAAATACCTACAGGAATTTGGGGAATTTCCCAAATGCCTAGGTTTTTGGGAAATTTCCTATTTAAAAAAAAAAGGAAATGCTGTCGTGTCATGTGATATGGGGAAAAAATGAAAAATATTGGGAAATTTCCCAAATGCCTAGGTTTTTGGGAAATTTCCTATTTAAAAAAAAAAGGAAATGCTGTCGTGTCATGTGATATGGGGAAAAAATGAAAAATAAGATGTTAAAAGGCAACTTAATTCATCTTAACCAAAAAATGCAGCTAGTAAAACCCTGAACATTTTTTATGGCGCTCCGAGCAAACAAAAATAACTTCTGCGAAATTTTTTTTTTTCGGTGATCAGAAAAGAAAGAAAAAATTAGACATCAAAAGGCAAGTTTTCATTCTTTTTAATTCTTTTTAATTCTTTTTACTCAAAATTTCACCAATTAAAATCCTAGTACTTGTTTTGATATTGCACTCAAACAAACCTAACTTCTGTAGAAAATATGATTTTTGATGAACTGGAAAGAAAAAAACTGTATATCAAAAGGCATGTTTTTATCCTTTTTATTTCAATTCATATCCAAATATTCAGCAAATAAAACCCTAGACATTTTTTTGCTGCTCCGCACAAACAAAAATCATTTTTTGGGGGAAAATTTATTTTTAAAAGTTTTTGCCACAAACTTAAATTTTCTAATCCCTATTTCTTCGAAACCGGATGGTGTAAACCTTATTTCAAACTTTTCTCAATTCATAGAATTCATAGTTTGAAACATCGGGTTGCACAGATATAGGGATGATAAGTTTAGAATCTCATTTCCTTAACACCTCTGATATATAATCAACAAGTATATTCCTAAACCAAGTAAAGACTAAGTATGAAAGATATACGGTTTATAATATAGATTAAAAACTGCTCAGTAATTTTGTAAAAATAGAGGTTTTTAGTGGAGGGGAGCAAAATCTTCTAGGGGGTGCACAAAAAAAATTCGCGCATGTGGTACCCCCTAAGACTAAAGCTCTCGTACGCCCCTGTAATATGTTGATGTATTCAATAAATACCTTTGTAATATTGTAGGTAGAATTATGTCCACGGGAACATAGAACTGTAGAGCGTAGGAGAAGAATATTGCTACAGACATCATCACTTTAGCCATCGTAGCAGCACTGAAACAATTTTTTAAATATCATCAATCGAACTACATTTGAACGGACTGTAGATGTAATTTCAAGTGACCCTCCATTTGTACAGTGGTATGTCAAATTGACAATCAGTAACCTTTAAACCGTGAACTGATCAAGGATAACGAACTTATTTCTCAACAGAGTCAGAAATTTGCTTGCCATCTGTTTTATATTTTAAAATTATTAAATTTTACTTTCAAGGAGTAGCAGAACTAATATTTGAATTTGAATTTTAGCAAACCACGTTGGACATAAAAAATATAATAAAATATATTTGGGATTTTTAATATATCTGTTAAGACAGCTGCTTGAGTTCTCACAATTTGAAAAATACGTCGATTATCAGTCATAGGTTGAAAGGGAACCAGCAACTTTAAATCAGACATTACACTCTTTGTAAGAAGAGTCACATAAAATCATATAAAAAATGCAACGGATTTATTGAAAATTGAATAGAAATTGCAAAAGATCAAATAATGATCTAATTTAATTCAATTTGAATTTGAATTGGATCAGATGCGATTCAGTAATTTGTCAAAGGGGAGGGGAGGGGGGGGGCTCAGCTATAGACTATTTTGTTACGCTGCATCAGCATTGATGGTACTCTGATAAGACATATATTCTTATGCTTACGTTTCTCCAACAGGAAGATTTAGTGTTATACTGCCCTGGACATTCTCTCCGTACCTCATGTATCCAAAATATCCTGTACATACGCTCAATCAGGAAATAAGCTCAAGATAAACTCGCGTCCCAAAACTTTAATTTTTCAATCCATATCTTTGATATTTCATAAAAGCTTAAACTATTCAATCCATCTGAATTCTTGGTTTTAATATCAAGCTACAAAGGATTAAAGAACTCGAGTATGAGATGATTAAAATTAGTTTCGAATTTTGCCATGCTTGTGTACGTTCCTACAGCGATGTACAAACAGGAGACGATAATCATGGACGTGTTTAGCACTCCGTTCCAACCCTAGAATAGAATAAAATAGAATAGAATAGAATAGAATAGAATAGAATAGAATAGATTAGAATAGATCGTATTGAAAGTTGTATTCGTATTGCAAGTTATATTCGTATTGAAAGTTCAATTCGTATTGAAAGTTATATTCATATTGAAAATTATATTCATACTGAAAGTTATATTCGTATTGAAAGTTATATTTGTATTGAAAATTATATTAGTATTGAAAGTTATATTCGTATTAAAAGTTATTTTCGTATTGAAAGATATATTCGTATTGAAAGTTATATTCGTATTGAAAGTTATATTAGTATTGAAAGTTATATTCGTATTGAAAGTTATATTCTTATTGAAAGTTATATTTGTATTGCAAGTTATATTTGTATTGAAAATTATATTCGTACTAAAAGTTATATTCTTATTGAAAGTTATATTTGTATTGAAAGATATATTCATATTGAAAGTTATATTCGTATTAAAAGTTATATTCATATTATAAGTTATATTCGTAAAGTAATATTTGTATTGAAAGTTATATTTGTATTGAAAGTTAACTTATATTAGTATTAAAAGTTAAATTCGTATTGAAAGTTATATTTGTATCGAAAGACATATTTTGTATGGAAAGTTATATTCGTACTGAAAGTTACATTCTTATTGAAAGTTATATTTGTATTGAAAGATATATTCGTATTGAAAGTTATATTTGTACTGAAAGTTATATTTGTATTGAAAGTTGTATTCGTATTGAAAGTTAAATTCGTACTGAAAGTTACATTCTTATTGAAAGTTATATTTGTATTGAAAGATATATTTGTATTGAAAGATATATTTGTATTAAAAGATATATTTGTATTAAAAGATATATTTGTGTTGAAAGTTATATTTGTATTAAAAGTTATATTCGTTTTAAAAGTTATATTTGTATTGAAAGTTGTATTTTTATTGAAATTTATATTCGTATTAAAAGTTATATTTGTATTGACAGTTATATTTGTATTAAAAGTTATATTTGTATTGAAAGTTATATTTGTATTGAAAGTTATATTCGTATTAAAAGTTATGTATAAACTATAAAGATTCAAAGAATTATAAATACAATGACGAGACAGATTTTCCCTGTAAACTATCTTTTCAAATTTCAATTGTCATCCATATTATTCACTGACAACTTGACCCAATCCCGGTTGCAACTTGAACTTTTTTAGTCTAATATAGGTTGAGGGTTGATTTTGCCCTTAAATTGAGATAGGAAAGTGTGATACACGTCCTTGGTCCACCTATTTAAGAACGCTAACGTTTAAAATGTTCAAAAATAATCACTATTAATTTTGACAATATTATAATGTGACAATGTTATTACATCCTTTTTTCAAAGGCTTTTAAAATATTTAAATTAGCCCTGTAGATTAATAAAAAGTTATTAAGCATTTTTGATTTTTTTAATCACCAACCCGCCGCTTGACTTTCCTCGACCCTGCCCTCTGCAAAAAAATTGGCAAAATTTGTTCACACCTCTGATGTAGAAAAAGTGAAACAGTTTTAGCGTTCTAATGTAAGCTGTTTTTAAGTTATTTAGCAAAAAACCACGGAGGGGGAAAACACCCCCCCCCCTGCAGCCGTGATAGGGTCAACTGGGACATTTTAAACCTTTAGCTGATCAAGAAAGAATGAGATATTACTTTTCTTCTGTCTGAAAATTGATTATTTTCAATTGTGGGTTTCTGTAAAAGTAACTTGTGGATTCATGCTGCAGAGACAATGAAGTGAAATGTGAGAATTGAACACTTCAAGATAGAAAAACGATATCTGTTGGTGGGTACTGTTGTGAATTGGACATGATACACTAATAACATTTAGATATTTTTAAATTAATTCACCTTGATATCACGTGGAGTTTTCATCTGGTTTTCTAACGGTAAAACTACTCCTATACCCTGATACACGAATCCAAATTAACGATTTAAAAACGGATTTAAGAAGCCATTTCTTCTTCCTTTTCTATTACTATTATTCAGAAATTGAAGATTCACGAGAGATTTAAATCCATCAACTTTTGTGACGTTTACTGAAAAATATTTTTTTTTAAATTAACCAATCTTATTATGATTTTTTTAAAAGTCAATGTTCATCAACTATTCAAACTGACGAAAAATAAGTAAAAAAATTCCAAAATGATTTTTTTCAATATTAAAAAAAATTTTTTTTTCAAGATGAATTCTTGCCTCGAAAGCATAGATCGCTGTTCCAAAGTAGAGAGGTATTTGACCGATAGAAGCAACATACTTTACTTCCCAAGTGTAGGACAAATCTAAAAATTTCCAAAAATGTCAAATAAATATTTTGTAAACTGTTAATACTAATATTTGTTTGAGAGTATATAGTATTTTTATTAAAAAATCCTTCCACTATAAAGTTAATATTCACATAACCAAAATTATTTTCCGCAGTTCAGCTATACAATACATTCAAAATCAATCAACAGTGAAAACAAAAAATCTATGTAAAATACCTCAATATTTAGATCGAAGAAACGCGTTTCTGAACTTATGAAAGGAACTGAGAATTCACCCAAAATTGTCTTAAAATGTGAATTATGAAAGTAGAAAAAAATTGTAAAAAAATACTAGAATTCTCAAAAGCCTTTAAATCTTGGTCAAAGCGTCGTGTTCAAATTATGCTCTTTTGTTCAAATCTTCAAAAATATTTAATAACACTAAATATAAAAAATAAGCTGAAATGGAATTGAAAATTTTCCTTTTTGTTAAAAATAAATATGCAAATTAGTAGATAGTCCCTTTATATTACCCTGGATTAGATAGTAGAAGATAATCCCTAGCGCCGCGCCTTGGAGAAATTATTCTATATGATATGGNAAGTTCCTGAACACAATATAGAGATAGAAGATAAATATCTCAAGTTCCTGAACACAATATAGAGATATGAGATAAATATCTCAAGTTCCTAAACACATAATAGAGATAGGAGATAAATATCTAAAGTTCCTGAACACAAAATAGAGATAGGAGATAAATATCTCAAGTTCCTGAACACAATATAGAGATAGGAGATAAATATCTTAAGTTCCCGAACACGATATAGAGATTAAGTTCCTAAACACATAATAGAGATAGGAGATAAATATCTCAAGTTCCTGAACACAATAAAGAGATCGGAGATAAATATCTTAAGTTCCCGAACACGATATAGAGATATGAGATAAATATCTCAAGTTCCTAAACACTATAGAGAAAAGAGATGAAAATTTTAAGGTCATTATTCATAAAAAAGATCTATTGTGTAGAAATTAAAGTATTTTTTTATCGGATTTTTATTGTTCTCATGGTTTTCTTTTTTGCAGAAAACTTGCACTCGCCTGCATACCATGATTTTTTATTTAGAAAAATTAAAAATGATTGCTTCACTACAAAAAAAAAATAATAATAAGGGACAGGGGTGTACTTTACCTACAAATTATTTCCCATTTGGAAAAACATTTTTTTCCATAAACATTACAAGCAAGATATTATTTAAACTTTTACGTAGCTGTCGTCGAATTTTAATTTGGAACAAATTTTTGGTCAAATAAGACTTGTTGCCCCTAGAATAGTTATATACCATTTTATCTATCAACTTATCTAGTCATTTCCAGAATAATGAAATAGTGGTGGGTTTATATGGTTAGTAATCATAAACTCTGATATTTAAATTTTAAAAGAGTAGCTTTGAAACATTAAATATACCTTATAGATGATAAGCCCAGCATTGGAAGTAAAATAATCAGCATATACCACTGATAGCTGATAGGACCATAGTAGTGGTTAAATACCTAAATATATGTATATTAAATAATCAGCATATACCACTGATAGCTGATAGGACCATAGTAGTGGTTAAAGACCTAAATATATATATATATTAAATAGTCAGCATATACCACAGATAGCTGATAGGACCGTAGTAGTGGTTAAATACCTAAATATATATATATTAAATAATCAGCATATACCACTTATAGCTGATAGGATCATAGTAGTGGTTAAATACCTAATAATCAGCATATAACACTGATAGCTGATAGGACCATAGTAGTGGTTAAATACCTAAACATATATATATATATATTAAATAATCAGCATATACCACTGATAGCTGATAGGAACATAGTAGTGGTTAAATACCGAAATATATAAATATTAAATAATCAGTATAAAACACTGATAGCTGATAGGACCATAGTAGTGGTTAAATACCTAAACATATATATATTATATATTAAATAATCAGCATATACCACTGCTAGTTGATAGGAACATAGTAGTGGTTAAAAACCTAAACATATATATATTATATATTAAATAATTTCTAAAAAACGTTAAATTTGTATAAAATGTTAAAATAAAAAACTTATTTTTCTACCTGCTGAAGGTTCTGAGCTACGAACACAAAATAAACACAACAGAACCCTAGCTGTGTTATACACAGAGCAGTGTTTATAAACTTCCGAGCTGAGGGTGCTAATCTCTATAACAGGGAAAATATATTAGATTTATCAAAACAATCGGCCTAGCTAGCTGTCTATTAGATCTAGCTATCAGCCTAGCTAGCTGTCTATTAGATCTAGCTATCAGCCTAGCTAGCTGTCTATTAGATCTAGCTATCAGCCTAGCTAGATGTCTATTAGATCTAGCTATCAGACTAGCTAGCTGTCTATTAGATCTAGCTATCAGCTTAGCTAGCTGTCTAAGTAAATTTACATCCATTGATCTATAATCTATATGTCAATATTATTTTTATCCATTAATCTATCTGTCTATCATATATTTATCCATTAATCCATCAGTCTACCATACTTTTAATTCATCAGTTTATCTGTCTATCCAACATATGTCTCTTTCTTCCAATCTGTTCATCTGTATATCTGCTAATCTGCGAATCTGATAAACTGCTGAAGCAGTCCTTCTTTTTTTAGTCTGGCTGACGCAACTTTCGATATTTCTATCTGTCTATGTGCTATGTACTATTTGTCTTTATCTGTATTTATCTGTCTATCTGTATTTATCTGTATTTATCTGTCTATCTGTATTTATCTGTATTTATCTGTCTATCTGTATTTATCTGTATTTATCTGTCTATCTGTCTATTGATATATGTATGCCCTGCCTGAAGCCTAGGACTAGATGAACTAGAAAAGGAATGTTCTGCAACATCTGAATATCCCAGGGATGTTGAACCGGTTCTTCTAAAAATATAAAAATATTTTAAGTGGATTGTTCACGTTAATTTACAAGTTTATATTTAGTTCCACAAACCAAGGAAGATAAACCATGAATCCAAATATCTTTATTTACATAGAAAGCGTACTGTATTTTCTTCGCGGAATACAGACAAAAATCGGTCTGAGTAGTGAGTAGCACTTGAGTTGTTTATATTCCTGTACACATTTTGTAAACAAAAACCGGTCTGAGTAGTGAGTAGCACGTGAGTTGTTTATAATCCTGTACACATTTTTGCAAACAAAAATCGATTTCATGGTGCATCTTTCTTGTCACACACGATCCACAACGGTACACTATGAACTTAAAATGTTGAATGAGATTGAGATTAATTTGTTTCTGAATACTGTATTCTCGTGACACGGCGCGTATGGATTTCCTGCCAGAAATAGCTGCATTAGTATGACTCAGAAGTTCCAATTTTTATATAGGTTTTATTTAAGATTTTCTTCAAAAGGTTTCATTGGTAATCGATCATGACATTATTTAACGTCATTTAAAACCATTGTAGCAATCCTTGAAAATTAAGATGATTACTGGCATTATCAAGTTCTCAAAAAATCGATAATGCAAAATTTACAAATTGTGAAAAAAAAACTTGCGAACCTTACATTTTTTAAAAACGTCGTTTTCAAACTTTATTAATAAAATAATAAAGCACAAGTTATTGCACAAGTATTAACATTTCAATATGAACAAAATAAATTTAAAAAAATGAAAATTAATTCAACAATTAAAATGAAGTTACCTACAGAGCTCATGTGAGCAATGAACAAGGGTATGCATGCAGTGAATGCATATTGCAGACATCAAGACAAGACCTAAAAAAATAAAAAAAAGTAAAGATGAAGACAGTAAAAGATAAAGATGAAAACAAAACACAGATTTAAAGATTTAAATTTTTAAGTTAAAGAAGGAAACAGCTCTTTAAAGAGGACTATGTCCGATTCAAAACGGTACCCTTTAATATTTATCTTTATCTTATAAATGATGTGGAAAATATCGTTGTTCTCCTAGCTTAAATTTATTTTGACAATTTCCTTTGTCTATCAAGCAAAATATACGCAACTTGCTCTAATAGAAACCATAAAAAAATCAATTTTTAACAAGAAGATGATGAATATGTCATGCTTTCCTGATCAGAACGTTGTGAATTGTTGATGCCACTATAAATATAAGATCACTTTAAATCACGTCTACAGTCCCTTTAACCCGGCAAACTGGGCTGTCCGACACTAAATGTTTACTAAAGACCTACCTACATTACCAAGGATAAGACCACTATTCTTTATTGCATCAGGCATAGCAAGTATACCCGTTCCAATATTACCTAAAACAAAACAAAAAGATTATTCATTTTTTAACCGTTTACACAAAACTTCCTAAAAAAAGCTACAGTTACCAATCCCTACATAAACAATATACATATTTTAGCTTACCCTTGAGTAAATGTATAATAGTATCACAGTTCCTGAAAATAAAATAAAAATTTTAATACTAAAATCTAAATTTATAATTTTATGACAACATTTTTAATTTATTATTGATACTCACGAGATTTTATGATGTTCTTCCACCTCTCCTTTAACAATATCAATCTTTGTACTGCTCTGAAAATATATATTTTAAAAACTCTGATAATAAATTCTCTAAAATTGTCCCACCCTCCATAAAAAAGGCATATGCATGCATGATTCACATCGGTACCCTTAAACCTTTTTCTTTTAAAAACTGTCTGAAATTAATAATATAAGTAAGGTTTCTCAATAAATTAATTCAGCAGAGAAGGGGAAGAAAATTGACAGAAATTATCTTTTTACAAGAGAAAAAGATGACGACATCTTCCTAACTGTTTTTTTTACATCTAATAAATGTTTTAAGAGAATTGTTGTGAATCCAGCATATAAACTTAAAAACTTTATGTCGACAGTTCCTTTCAGATATTTTTTACCTTTGGTTCGACAATAGAGGAGGAGTCATATTCAGACCCTTCAGAATCACTAAATATAATGCATTATTAATAAACATTATTATTTCTCGTTTAAAAAATTCAATTTTGTAACATTTAAACCACTGTGAAGATGTTGATTAGTTTAAGACATTTAAACAAAAAATTCATTTTGTTTAGCATTAAAAATATTTAAGAAAAGTGATCTTAACAAAATTGAATTTTTTTAATATGTGATTTTAGGACAAACATTTAAGCTAGACATTAGCTGTATTAATTGTACAAAAATATGAAATTTGTCCCAAAATTTATTTTTTTTAATCTATAATCAATTTATTAATTTTGTGCTATTTACATAAGCTACATAAATAAAAAACAAGTAAATAATAATATACACAAAACAGGACATGACAATGCAATTTTGTAAATTTTAAAAATAGAAAATAAAAAAAATATGTGACGGGCGTCCTAATATGCCAAATAATGAGTGTTTGAGGGTCAAATAAACATAGAATTTTTTTCTCTCTAAAAACTACTTTTTATTCTTGATTTGACATCTTGATTGTAGTGTTCATAAAAAATCATTGGACACAATTTTACCGATTAATAAAAAATTTAATTAAATTTGTTGAGAAATGGGCCTATCAAAAAAGACCCAAAAGAAACATCACGGTTATTTGATTTGAAATAAACAAACAATGGACATTCCAACTTTTATCTAAGGGTAGACATTAAAGCTAACATTAAAGCTATAAAAAATAACATAAAACAAGAACAAAACAAAACTAGCGCGACTGAAAACTACAAGGTTACATATTTTCATAACATTACCTCCCCTCCGAAAGTGAAATTTTTTAACGTTTTATGTAAAAATTTACATTCAAGCTTCATTAGCTTCAATAATACCATTTCCTCCAATTTTAATTTATTTTTACTAAAATTTTAAAATATGCGATGAAAACTTTAAAAAATGTTATAGAAAATATATATCCTTGTAAAAAATAAATAAAGCAAACAAACATAAATACATGCTAGCTAGGGTATACTTATATATGTTTAACCTTCTAATTGGAGGACTGGTATCCAAACTCCCGTACTTGCTATTTAATATTTCAATTCAATTCATTTATTCATCAATCAATCATTTTCATGATTAAAAAATATTTATTTTCAACATCATTACACGACCAAAGAAAAATATATGAAACTTTCGGAGAAAATCGTCTTCATTTCAGAACTGTTAAAATTAAATTTTACACGGAAAAAGCAGGGATAAATGCCATTCTTAAAATATTGCAGTATGAACAATTCCCCTTTAATGTACACAATATTTTTGGCACAATCTCTAAACACAAAGGTCGCCTATATAGTTCAGCTAGATTGTTAGTTAAATAATGACGACTTTTCTCAAAATCTTAACTCCAGAGTTTAATCTTATACCTATTCATTCATACTAATATTTATTGAAACCCTAAGCTTTAAGCCAAAATGAATTAGTTTAAATTTACTATGTTTTATTACTGAAATAATCACTTTTTATATTATGTCGATGTATTAATTTATTTTTAGTATTAGTTGAATTGTGGTCCCTGTCAGTTTTCATGTTTAATGTGTTCACTATTTAGTGTTTAAAGCTTTCCTCCGAACTAACATATGACTTGTTACCAAACGCGATCTTGAACGTTTAAAGGTGTTTCTGAAAAAAATCGACAAGCATCGTTTAAACTTTATCTAACTTTATTTGAAACTTAACACTTTAAAGCGTTTTAAACAAGTTTAACTTTAAAACTGAGATTTGTTCGCAAAAAAGGGAAAATTGTTAAATCATCGTTTATCTAGGAAACCGCAAACGTTTAGATTTCAAGAAATTACGCCATAAAAATGTTAAGGAAGGATATAAACAAAAAATTTCGGTAATTTTTAAATAATTTTAATTCGAATTTCCATGTTTCGAGCACTTGTAAAACTGAAGAATAACGAAGAAAAGCCACGGCTTATGCTATTGCAGACCCTACATTGTTTCCGAGAATACCAAATACATTTATTTAAGCACACTAAGGTTCATATAAGCCAAAAAAATGATTAAACCTATAAATAATCAAATTGTTTATGAAATATGTTAAACTAGCTGAAAGGCTCGGCATTGCCTGTGAAAATTTTTTTTGGAAAAAAATACGAATTTTTTTATAGCTTATAACACTCCCCAGCCACCCCTTAGTGTCTACAAAAATATACGAATATCTTCTTTTATTATATAGATTGTACAGTGTATTAATCTCCCATATATATATCTCAAACATAACTTTCTCCAGATGTACTTTCTTCATAAAAAAAAATAATAATTATGTCTTGGTACAAAGATTTCATGTCTTCCTTTTCTTTTCAATATCCTGTGCCAAAAGTTCTAAATTACGCCCCCCCCCCACCTCCCGGTCAAACAAATGCTCCTTTTCTCATCTATTCCTGCCCCCCACCCCCCGTATTCAACTCAGACACATGGAATCAATCCTACGATAAAATATTTCATATTTGAATAAAGAAACACATTTTCTCTAAAAATGCATCCTTGTGACTATTTTTATTCTGACTCATTCATTTTAACGGTTTAAATTTAGTTATTTTTTATTAAAATGCATCCTTATGACCATTTTTATTCTGATTCACGAATTTAATTACACGAGACACAAAATCGCAAGTTTTTATTTTCTCTTCATTCTCTTTATTTCTGCCCAATTTTCATTTTTTTATTTTCAAGAATATTCCATTAATTGATATATAATTTTCCGGATTATATTCTACATGTGGACTGGTGCAACCTGGACATTGGGACAACTACGGAATAGATGTTTAAAGTAATATTTAATGTGAATCACGCATTTGTTATATCGTGATGCATTATGACGGATTACCCGTACGACTTTGTACCCTCTTGTAGTTCTCATTTTACATCCATAGATAAAAAATTAACTTGTTTAGATTAGATTTTAGATATTATTTATACATATAAACATATATATTTATACATAATATATAATCGAACATAAGTGCAGAGACCGGACATATGTTGCAAAAGGAGTTACACGCATGTCGCGTTGAATTACAAGACAGAGAGAGAGCCTGTTCGGTCCCCTAGCCAGTCCCAGCCGCGGCGCTCGGTCCCATAGCCACAGCGCTCGGCCTAGAAAGTGTCTATACCTATCCTAGCCGTAAAATATATAATAATCTCTCTTTTTTTGTAATCCAATGCGGCAAGCTTGGTCGCGCGTAACTCCTTTGGGCAACTACCCTTAAATTTAGAATATAATTATTAATATAAAGTCTTGACTATTATTTAGTTAACGGGAGATTAAAAAAAATTTGCATTTGAAAATTTTATAAAAACCGATCAGACATTCACAGCATTTATTTAATTCCTACCGTGACATTTCCGAATTTTGCACTTGCGCAGAGGTTGCCATTATCTTTAATCCATTCATATCTTTAATTAACTAATAATTAATTCTTAATTGAGCCGTTAGTGTCAGATGAGTTCATAAATAACAAATACACCTTGCAAGCAATGTTTTATCTTTTTAATAAATGTTCCCTACACATAACTACATATTCCACTGAACATGAAATAACCGTTGCTTAGTATATAACTTAGACCGATTGGTTGTTTTAAATCAACTAAGCCCCGCAGTGTAGTGTATAAAACAAAGATCGTATTCTAGGGCACGGCCTATATCCAAACTGCCCTTGTGATCCAACCAATAGACTCAACTTAACTGAATTTATTTCACACAACCCTTATCTATACTTCAAACATGATCAAGGGGTGGAATGTTTAAGAGATCACTTATTCAATTCCTCTTAAAGCACTTATAAGTAATATTAAAACTGTCAAAAAAACTTCTTGTGACCTTCAATTAAAAAGATGGACATGTCGTATTCACTAAAGTACCCTTTAAACATTCATCTATGCAAAATCAATGAAGTAATTTGTAATCCTTATTTTTCTACAAGAAAAGTTATCATTACCAATTGTGATTTCTCTATTAAAGTGACAAGGGAATTAATTATAATTACGCCAACAGTCCCTTTAACACTTCTACTTATGTCTTACAGTGCCTTTAACACTACATTATAATTAGTTTACGACTGAATACTTCTATTTATATCTTTTAACTAAGACAACGTGTAATGCACAAATCTATTACTTAGATTAATAAAGCCACAAAATAACTGTGGCTTTCAGGATAAACTTGGTAACAGGTGTTCAAGTTGTCTGTGCGTTATCGATTAAGAAAATTTATTTACAAAAGAAAATAATAAAAAAAATTCTAAATTACAAAAGAAACTCGTTTTTACTGAGATGTTAATGGGTCCAAATTCAACGTTACATAGGGTTGATGTTAGGTAGAAGGGGAGGGGCTAGGTGTGGCTAGTCCAAAAAAAGGTAATTTATATAAAAAAAAAATAGAATCGTCAGGGGGTTTCTTGTACTGACCCAATTCAATTTCATACTGCAATGGGATAATCATCAGAGCTGTTAACTTTTTGATGTACATTCTTTATTATTGTATGACATCATATGCATTAAACTTATTATCTGCTCTCTCAAACTTATTGAGAAAACTATTTTGAGAAAGTTGAATGGAACTGATTTATTTGAGTTACGTCATTTAAAAGTTACTAGCTCTAATATCATTAAGCTTTCGATTAAAAACACAGTTTTACAAAAAAAAACTGACACTGAACTGGAATTTTATCATCGGGACATAGTAAAAGGCTTAATGCTTATAACAACGCTGTTTAAAAAACCAAGGGTTTGATCATTGAAATATTATAAACATTGTTCCAAAGCAGTTAGTAGGAAGGAATTACACATTTCCACATGAATCTTTACAGAGACCTTCCAACGCATTTTCTTCGGGGGATGGGCGCTTTGGAGACTTACGCCCCCGCCCCTTAATCAGTAAAAACTATAGCTGTGGTGAGTTCATTTAGCTTTTCAGAGTTTATGCTTTCTGAAATGAATTACCGTACATAAAAGCGTTTTATTATTTGTTTAGCGATTTGTTTAATTCAAATAATAAATTCGATGATTTCGATTCACCATAGTTTCACTTTCCTAATATTTTATTGTTCTTTATTTTAAATACGATTGATAATGTTATTTTTATGAAAGTAACGCCAAGTGTACCTGGAGTATGCATTTACTGAATCCACATTTTCATCCCTATCAACCTCAGGGAGCAGAGGTTCATTTTCTATTCTTTCCGTCATTATATCTACAATATCATATTATAGAGGTTCATGTTCTATTCTTTCCGTCATAATATCTACAATATCATATTATAGAGGTTAATGTTCTATTCTTTCCGTCATTTTATCTACAATATCATATTATAGAGGTTCATGTTCTATTCTTTCCGTCATTATATGTACAATATAATATTATAGAGGTTCATGTTCTATTCTATCCGTCATTATATCTACAATATCACATTATAGAGGTTCATGTTCTATTCTTTCCGTCATTTTATCTACAATATCATATTATAGAGGTTCATGTTTTATTCTTTCCGTCATTATATCTACAATATCATATTATAGAGATTCATGTTTTATTCATTCCGTCATTATATCTACAATATCATATTATTGAGGTTCTTGTTCTATTCTTTCCGTCATTGTAACTACAATATCATATTATAGAGGTTCATGTTCTATTCTTTCCGGCATTGTATCTACAATATCATATTATAGAGGTTCATGTTCTATTCTTTCCGTCATTATATCTAATATCATTTTATATAGTTTCATGTTCTATTCTTTCCGTCATAATATCTACAATACCATATTATAGAGATTCATGTTCTATTCTTTCCGTCATTATAGCTACAATACCATATTATAGTGGTTCATGTTTTATTCTTTCCGTCATTATTATTTACAGTAACATATTATAGAGGTTCATGTTCTATTATTTCAGTCATTATATCTACAATGTCATATTATAGAGGTTCATGTTNAGGGGTCCAAAAATCGTTCTCTAGGATATTACCGAGGGCGCAAAGATCTCAATAATTAATTATCATGAATGGTATTGGTAAACCCATCCCTGCCCTCCGGTCCCCCTTCCCTGGACTGAAAAAACTGAGAAGGATTTAAATCAATCAGATACAGCGAACAGTTGACAACAACAATTTTCGACCACATCACCACTCAATGTTTCAATGAATTTCATTTTCTGACAAAGTTTGATAAAAACTACAAGCTGACACAGACAATATCACAATATACTAATAATACGAGATATGGCTTGGTTTGGCTGCTTTGTTGTTATGAACAGCTGATCAAGTACAAAAGTAGAAATTAAAATTTTTAAAGAAACCTGCAAATGTCGTCTTACAATTAGAAGAATCTTAATAAGGAATTCGGGATTAATAGATTTGTCCAAGCGCGTATATAGGATTTTAATCAAAAGGGAGGAGGGGGGGGGGGGGGGGTCAAGGAAAAATAGAATTTGCGAGAAAAAATTTGCTTCCCCCCCCCCATGGCTCTTATTGCTCTTATTTAATTTAAAGTCTATAAAAAGCGTCCCATACATTAGTTTATCAATTTATATCTCAAAGCTTCAATGCCAAAATACGCGCGTATAGTCGAAAAACCTAATATTTTTGCATGAAAATCTTTAAATTAGAATAAATATAGAATTTTTTTAAAGATTCGCACTTTTTAGATTTTCTGATTAATAGTCCCGGAAATCGTTATATTTAAAGCTTTAACACGATCCAATATGATGTGGGACACTCGAAGGTATGTCCCCTTTAGTAGTCCTAAAATATTTAAGCTGACCAATTGAATCACTTTGTTTGGCTCTGTAATCTGTATTACTACAGTTGCTCTCTAAAGTCCTGAGTAGTCTCCTTAAAAATGGGAAAACAATCTTTAGTCCTCCGTTCCATTTATTCTCCACTGTAGTCTTCCCGTTAATTTCCCTGATTAAGGGTGGCATGCCCCCCCCTAAAGAAGCTTGACTCCCCTTCATGGGAGGGGGGCAAAAAGGGGTCCATGTAGACTATAGTTCCAAAAATAGCTAATTTTCTCGAAATATTAAAAAAATATGCTCCCACAGAAATTTTTTTAAACCTACACTCTTTAAGCAAACTCTAATTCAACCAAAACATTTTTCAATCTAAGCTCAGATTATATTACATATGAAGATATTTCATGTGCATAAAAAACATTGCTTACATTTTATGTTTAATTTTTTACTTTACATTTTTTATAGAATTAATTTACATAATTCACTACAGATACATATATAAAAATATAAACCTGATCGCATGCCATGTATCAGTACAAAGATGACTCAGAATACCACCCACTCATTAGTTCTACCATTTTATATATTCTAATCTGAAGCATTTTTAAAATCAATAAAATTAGGACTAACTTCCTTACTTCAAATTATCCTCTGTATTTTTGAGAATAAAACATCCCCTGAATCTTCCAGAACCTACCATTGCATCTTAAAATGCACACACTCAAGTATTCTGTAATCAGTTGGCTTTGAGTCATCACCCAGTTCACTTCAAAGTATAAGACGACCTCCAATCTCTGCTATGGTTCAGTTTCAGAGAAAAATATCTTCTGTTGGTGGGAGGCTTTCTCCCTGGGTAGATGAAGAGGAGTTTAAGAGAAGAGAAAGAAGAAGATCCGAAGAGAAATCTGAACCTTCTGGAAATAAAGTTGAGACTGAACCTGTAACTTGCAGCAAGCCAAGTACAAGCCCTGTTAGTGATCCCTACTGGCCAAGAAGGAAGAAAAATATTGAGGTAAACCCTATTTTCACTTTATCAAAGCTTTAAGCTCAGTTTTAAAAAGAGACAATCAACACAATTTCTTAGGAAGCCTCAACACTTTTTCATTACGGTTCTCTGAAGAGGGGTTTAACTTCTGTTTTAATACCCAAAGAATTTTTAAGTGAAAAAAAAGGTTGTTTTTACCAAAACAAAGTCAAGCGCATAAAGTGGCTGACAGAAACTACGAGAATTTGCCGCAAACTCAAATTTTCTGATCCCTATAACTTTGCAACCTGATGGTGTGACCTTTCATATTTAAAAACTTACAGTTTTTTATCTAAGGCAATTCATAGTTTGAAATATCTACTATGTAAATTGTAAACAATTTTGTTATAGGATATTTCTGTAAATATGAGAGTGATTACTGAAGTAAAGAAAGGAGAAGTTTTCCCAAGAAGAGGAAAGAGTGTTTTACAACAGTTCCAGTAGCTTCTGTAAATACAACTCCTTATGCACCTATTTTACAAATATAAATAAATATTTATTTGAAAACAGAAACAGAAACCCGAGAAATCTCAGAACTCTGTAAAATGGAGAAAAAAGACATTTTAACATGTTAATGCAATTATAAAACCTTTGACTTTTAAATAAATTATTATTGTTTTTTTTTATATTATATAAAGATGAGGGCTAAGATGTAAATTTTACAAAATATTTTAATTTGTCATCAAGATTTACAAAGTATAAACCATAAAGGGCTAGATAAACCTAAGGAGGCAAAATTTAAATATATTCAAAGGTCGGTGTTTATACAATGAGGACGACTTTTCCATTAAGTTTTTAATTATCCCAAGCTTTTTTTAAAATTACAAGTTTACAAGTAAACAAAGAGAAGCTGTTTATTTACAGCTTATACTTTATTTCCATGTTTATGTGTATCCATGCTGTATGAAATCTTGGAAGATCCTCTAAAATTTCAATCTAAAATCGTCTTCATTGTATTGATATATTCGACGACGACTATATATAGCAACGAAAATACATGGGGTCGGGGAAAAATTCCATTTTGATTTAACTTTTAGCAATAACAAATATACAACTCTCCGTTATAGAAATAAACGTGGGCAGCAGACTGTAAATTTTAAACTATGCCATGAATAAAACCATGGTTTCACAGAGCTTCCTCATCAATTGGTCAAGGTGTTCATGAGTAACCATCATACATATACAATACAAACAGACAGACAAACATCGATTACTACTTTATGTATATGTATATGGATTGTATTTGTAGATGTATGCAAAGAAAATGAAAGTATGTTTACTGTTCATTTTAACGGTGTTAGGAATTTTCCCAAAGGCAATCTTCCAAGCGGCAATTTCCCAAAGGATAGGTTAGTCCTTCTAAGGCGCCGCAGGCGGCAATTGGGGGGCCGAACGCTGCGGCTAGGATGGGTACAGGGGAACGAGTGCTTTGGTCAGAAAAAAAACTAGGGGCCAAGCGCTATGACATTGGCCAGGGCAGACTTGGAAAGTTGCCGCTTGGGAAATTGCACATTTGGGAAGTTGCCACTGTGCAGTAGGGGTAGGGGTACTAGTAACTGAGGAAACAATTATCGTTCAATTTTTACGATCAAGGTGTCATTCTAAAGCTCTATATTTCAGTTATATTTCATGATGTAACATTTTTCCTTCTAGACCTCATACTTTTTTGTTACAACCAATTGTTTGAGCTTAAGTCGAAAATCGATTTCCCGGAGCAATCTAAAAACAAAATATGCATTAAAAAACGAAAAGTGAGCTACGGGTACCTCCATTCGAACCTTGCCCAGACCACAAATCTTTTTTAAAATTTTCTTTTTGTAATCGGTTGGTACAATCCACAGCTCGCTATTTCAATCAAATTTTTTTTATCTAACCAACCAGGGCACAAAAATAAAACTTTTTTTGTGAAATTACAGAGAAAAAAAACTTTAAAAAAACATCACTTGTATTAAGAATATTTTTACTTTAAAAATGATATTTACGCTTACATTTGTTAATAGTCCATTTTTATCATAGGTTCATGGTATTAGGTAGTTAAATAGGCCAAAAATGTTGTAAGTTTTTTTCATGGGGCCCGCTAAGGGACTGTTCAAAAAAATTATTTTTGTGGTCTGGGCAAGGTTCGTACGGAGGTATACCCGTAGCTCTCTTTTCGTTTTTTTATGCATATTTTATTTTTAGATTTCTCTAGCTCCAAAGTAATAATCGCTGATCCAAAATTTTAGTTAAAAATGTATTAATTACTCTCAGACAAATTAGAATCAATGGAAATTTAAACCCCAAGGGATTCAATGATAAACCTGAGGGCTGAGAGTAAATGACATTCCTTTGTAAAAAATAACAAATTATTTTTATTATCTTTAAAAGGGGCGGGATTAAATGAAAATTGTTGCATACCGAAAAACCAGCTTTTTATAAAGGAATGAAACCTTAGACTAACAGCTTATGATTTAAAAATATTTCGAAAATCTTTAAATTTTTCCATACTTTATGAACGAATGAAAATCAGACGTGAAAAATCAAATAATTGAAAAATCCGGGAAATCGATTTTCGACTTACGCTTAAATAATTGGTTGTAACAAAAAAGTATGAGGCCTAGCAGGAAAAATTTTGCATCATGAAATATAACTGAAATCTAGAGCTTTCGAATGACACCTTGATCGTAAAAATTGAACGATAATTGTTTCCTCAGTTTACTAATAGCCCTACTGCACAGTTTCTTCTGGGATACCCTGTGCACTTGCCGCTTGAGAAAATTACCTTTGGGAAAGTAAAGAATACCATTTTAACTGCCTTTATTTGTAACTAGTAAAAATAAAGTTGTGATTCTCCAATCGTTGCATGTACTGTATATGCATTCAGTCGTATTAACCAGTCTGGACTCCCCAGTCGTACTACCCAGTCTGGAATACCCTGTCGTACTACCCAGTCTGGAATACCCAGCCGTAATACCCAGTCTGGACACCCAGTCTGGACTACCCAGTCGTACTACCCAGTCTGGACTACCCAGAAGTACTACCTAGCCTGGACTACTAGGTGTAATGTCGACCCAGCTCGTTTTATGTAACAAATGTAACCTGGCAAGATCACAATGGTTAGTCAAACTACTGCCCGAGGCAATACTTCAATGCCGGCCCAGTTTGACTTTTTCTAGTTGAAGCATAATTTTCATAACTTCTCAGATAGTTGATTGATTCACATGATTTCTGGATATGATAAGTTGCATCAATTTTGAAGACTGGGTCGACTTTTAAGTGTTGAAACGCCTTTGCCTTTGATCTCACGAACTAACGCATCCTTTTTCCCAGCCCTAGACATGTACATTTTAGAACTATTTAGCATTGGTTTCAAGGGAGTAGCGGACAAAATCCTCGTTGATTTTCCAACCTTTGAATCACTGTGGATTTTAGATGGGTGTGATTCTTATCCCCGAATATAAGAATATTAGTAGCTAAACTTAGTTGAAGAAATTTCAATCTTACTTTATAAAACATTAAAAAGATTTAACTGCTCGAAACCAATTTGTATCTAAGCTCGTAAAGGAGTATCAAGCCTTTCAGGCCTCTGACCGCCTGCATACCTCAAGGAGTCTGGAATTTCAGTTCTGGACTTTAACGAGTTTCCTCACGGACTGAAATTTCAGTCCTCTAAATATTTATAAAAAAAATCCGTCTTTGAAAGAAAATCGTGCTTTCATCAGAGTATTTATATATAAGCAAAAATAATCCAACATTTTGATTTTGATTCTTCTATTAGTGCAAGGTTTTCAAACAACGTTGCCAGGTGGATTGAAAATCATTTGATTGGTTAAAATAAAAAATTTTCAAAATAAAATAGAACTTCAAACATTTTTATTATGGGACTCCCTGTCACAGGGGTATACAAATTTATAATTTCTTGAAACCACAAATGAAAATAAACAGTTTTCGAAACAAAAACCTTGATAATTTTGATCTGACAAAGCTTTTAAGAATACCGTTGTTAATCGGACTTTACACTCCATCAATGAAGGTTCATTTGACGTCACTTTTATTTACAGTGTTTTTAAGTGTCTTAAATGAGAGCTAAAATGTCACGCGCCAATTCCTCCAGTGCAGTAAATGGAAATTGAGAATTCTAAAATGTCTGGATCAAGTGTAGTAGATAAAAACTGAAATGTCTGGCTCAAGTGTGGTAGATAAAAACTGAAATGTCTGGCTCAAGTGTAGTAGATAAAAACTGAAATGTCTGGCTCAAGTGTAGTAGATAAAAACTGAAATGTCTGGCTCAAGTGTAGTAAATAAAAACTGAAATGTCTGGCTCAAGTGTAGTAAATAAAAACTGAAATGTTAGGCTCCTCTGCTGTAAAACCTAAGTATGTTGAGAGCACTACTACTACAGATTCCTATGTCTGCATGTTTATTGCAATCTGTCTATCTATCCATCCTTATCTGTCTATTTATCTATTTCTCTATCTATCTTAATATTTATCTTCCATTTTTCAGTTTCTTAATTTTAGGTGATACATGATAAATCTAGTAAAAGATATATGCTTATCTACTTGTCTTTGTCTGACTATCTATCTATCATTCTTAATATCTATATTTAATTTTAGTTTCAAGATGATACAGAGAAAATCTAATACTTGTATTAAATGTATCTATTTGAATTTAAAGAGGTATAAAATTCTTAATCAAATACCAGTGAATTATGAATACCTAATTGGTCATTTAGTTCTCCCAAAATATAACCAGAACTAATATCTATTTTGAAATCCATGCAAACACACCGCGCGCTTTCTGTACGTTTATGAGCTTTATTTAAGAAGAAAAAGAATCTGCAACAAAATTTAATGAGTATCGAGAAGTAGATGACAGATTAGGCGTATGCCAACCCCTTCTCTTGTGTGCCGGTTCACGCATAGAAGAGAATTATGTTATGTCTTCACGGTTCAACCATGTCACGCTATTCAATTAAGCCGCGGCTTAAATTTGAGATGCGGCTCAAATATCGTAGGTTCCCCTTAAAACTGTATTTAATGTTTCAAGATTTAAGCCGATGCTCAGGTAAAACCGCGACGCGGTTCAAATTCATTAAATTCGGACTGTGGTTCCTGAAATCCTCAGTGCAGTCTTAGGTTTAATAAATAAAACATTACGATTTACAAATTTCTTGAGATTAAGACACAAACAGCCAATGACAATTCATGTGCATGATGGTGTAACAATACAAATCAAAAGTTTAAAATAATGTTTGCTATATTGTTCATAAGCTATAGTTCCAAGCATACAGTCTACAATCTACTCATCTCGAATCTAAGAAAAATGTTAAAAAATAAGTTTAGAAATAACGTTAATTCTGTTGAACTATATGTTTAATACACAGCAGTATATGCTGATATTATCCACAAACCAAGAAATAAACCAAACAATCCTCGATGGACGTAAAACCGTAAAGAACAAATGAAGAGGGAAACCGACGATATCCATGCTGGATCGCCAATTTTGTTTCTCGTCAGATGAAAGGTCTGAGCTCATGCTGTGTTATATATATACAATATTGCCATATATGGATTTCATACAAAATATATATATATATGGATGATAGATAGATATTGATGATAGTGACTGGAAACTATGCCT